TCATTGATGGCTTTTTATGTCATAAATCCTCAATTATCACCATTGTTTAAAGATCATGGAATTCTGATGTATTATGTACCATAAATTACCAAATTCTCTATTGATGGACGTTAAGATTTTCAAATCCTTGTTATGAGTAATGCTAAGAAGGAAATATAGTACTTATATCTTTGTGAATTTATCTATTTATCCTATATGGATTACTGCTCTACTTTTGATCTCTTTTGAAGTCTAATAAAGATAGGAGCTCCAGGCAAGTGACACAGGGAGCTCTGTCCCATCCATCTCATTGCACTCTCCGCAGTCATGTTCCCATCCTTCAGGCATGAAGTTCTTGCTTCTGGCTTTTGCAGTTCTCTTGTTCCTGGCTTCAGTAACCTTACATAACTTGGAGTCATCCTTATTGAGAAGAGAGTGATAGAGGAAAGGGGAGACTGAAACGAAAGTATTAGATATATCTATTTTTTAAAGAAAAGGAAACTTTTAAATGGACAGCTATAGGAGAGGGGTTAAAAACAACCATTTAAAGTGTCTGGAAATTTACCTAAGGGTATACAGCAAATCAAGAAGCATTCATTCAAGAAAATCTACTAAATCTCAGTAAGATTATGGAAGTCTGTGGCATTAGGGCCAAAACAATTCATATGTTGAAGTCCTAACTCTCAATGTGATTGTATTTGGAAACGAGACCTCTAAGGAAGTAATTAAGGTAAAGTGAGGTCATAAGTATAGGTCCCTAAGCTGATGGGATTCATTTTCTCATAAGAAGAGACATCAGAGGGCCATGGTCCTTATTCTATTACAAGACTTGTTTAGAATTGCTTCTACAATATCAAAGCAACAGAATTCGCTGGGGACAGGCTGTTATGAGCTGAGATGTGTCCCCCCACAAAATTCATATGTGGCCATATTTGGAGATAGGGTCTTTAAAAAGGCAATTAAGTTAAAATGGGGCCATTTGGGAAGGCCCTAATCCAATATGACTGCTGTCCTTAGAAAAAGAGGAAATTGGGCCACAGACACATACAGAGGGAAGATAATATGAAGACACAAAGAGAAGACAGCCATCAACAAGTCAAGGAAAGAGGTCTGGAACAGATTCTTCCTTCATGGCCCTTCAGAAGAAACCAATCCTATAGACACTTGATCTCAAACTGTGAGAAAATAAATTTCTACATTTAAGGAAAAAAAAAGGAAGAGACACCAGAGAGCTCACTCACTGTCTATGCATGCACACGAAATAAAGAAGGGCATGTGAAGACATAGTGAGAAGGCAGTCATCTACAAGCCAGGAAGAGAACAAACTCTAAACAGAGACCAACCATGCCGGCACCTTGATCTCGGACTACTAGCCTCCAGAACTGTGAGAAAATTAATTTCTGTTTTTAAAAAAGAAAGAGAGAGCTTCCAAGGTGGGGAACACATTGAGATTCACGGAGTGATATGCTTGGAGAGGGCGTGGAAACTCTACATACTTTTTCTCCTTGCCTGTGTATCTCTTTCATGTAGCTGTTCCTGGGTTGTATCCTTTTATAATAAAGTGATAATCTAGTAAGTAAAATGTTTCTGAGTTCTATGAACCACTCTAGCAAATTAATTGAACCAGAGGAGGTCATTGTGGAAACCCTTGCTGTACACTCAGTTGAACAGAAGCACAGGTGACAACCTAGACTTGTGTTTGGTGTCTGATGGGGGTGTGGAGGGGCAATCTTGTAGAACTGAGTCCTTAAACTCAGTGGGATCCGATACTATCTCTAGGTAGATAGTGTCAGAATTGAGTTGATTGCTTGGTGATGCTGGTAGACACACATTCAGTGTCAGAATCAGGATTTGCTAGAATTTTCCTAGCTGATGAACATATGTGGTTTTAAAAGAAAAAGCATGAAAGAATGAGGAATGGGGAATGAGGAACCTTTGACTCCTGGGTGGCCAGATGGTCAGCCATGATATTAATGTAGGGAGGAGGCAAGAGAATTAAAAATGTTACTCAAGCCACATTCAGAGACTGCAATATACTGATCAGCCCTGCAGCCAGGCCAGGAGGAAACCTGCAGAACAAAGGAAGATTACTAACAAACCATTTCCCCACAGCTGTGAAGGGGAAACAGAAACTAAGAGTCATTCCCTATGGCTAAAACCATGGGGAACTTATGAATTAAAGGCTGGGAACTGCCAGCAGGCCTTTCACTCTACAGAATCTTACCTTTTCACACTATACACTCTTCCCCTTCCTCACTATATGTCCATATCAAAGGAAATGGATTAACAAAGTCTTTTAAACTATAACTCACAGGTTCTAAAGAATGATTTATAACTGAATTCTCCTAATACTCAGGGTCCCTTTCAGTGTCTTGACTCTGTCTCTCTCACTGTCCTCGTCTCTCCCTATTGTTGCAGAAAAATCCCAAAACCAGTCCAGCAAAAAACCAAGCAGTAACTTGGAGAGAAAGAGAACTCAGTTTTATTACACGCAGTCCCAGAGGAGCTAGTGCTCTAAGATCTGGGCAGTGTGCTCAGTGGCAACATTCCTTATATACAAGGATTTTACACAAGCTGATTGGTCAGTTTGAACTCGAACCGTTGTGAACTGTTGCCCAAGCCCACACAGTGTAGAAAAGAACCTGGAGTGTTGGTCGGAACAAACTCTCTGTGCCATAATCCTATGTGGAACGTAGACTAGGGATTATAGCAAAACCCTATTACTCCCTCCCAACAGAGACTTACCAGGACTTCGGACTAGCAATTTTCCAATAGAGGGGCACTTGCTGCCTTGCTACTGGACATTACTAATTGATGCTACCACTAGGACTGAAGGACATAAAGCGATCTTAAAATCATAATGTCTAGGACGATGTCAGAGAAACACTCAAATGGCAGTGTTCAGAAGAGTTCCAAAGTAAAATGGAAATGGTTTATACAGATTCATGCTGCCTGGGGAATGCAAGGAGATACAAGCAGGAAGCCTCTTTGCCTCTAGTTCTGATTCTGGAGCTGTGTGAGGAGCCGCTAGATTCTAGCATCACTTGGACAGTGCCTAACGAAGAGCCCTCCACTGACCAAGAAGAGCTGCTTGGCTTGTGGACAGCAGTTCCAAGGTGAGACAACAATATCCCATTTGGAAATCCTCCATTCTCAGGGAAGAACATATAAATAATCAGTTCAGGGGGCTGAACTGCATGCTGTTTTCCTCACAGTTATGGAAGAATTGAACAATGCAAAAGCCCCCATGTTTGAGTCTTTACTGACTCATGGGCAATGGCCAATGGCCACTCCAGGGAGGAGAGGGAGGCTGGTGGAAGGTTTAATCGACCATGCCTATGTTATGAAGCCTCCGTAGAAACCTAAAAGAATGAGGTTCAAAGAGCTTTTGCGTTAGAGAGTGGTGCACCCAGAGAAAGCATAGAAGCTCTGTGTCCTTTCCCACATAACTTGCTCTATGCATCTCTTTTATCTGGCTGTTCCTGAGTTATATCTTTTAATAATAAATCAGTAATCCAGTAAGTGAAAACTTAAAATGAGAGAGAGCAGATGAAAAAGCGAAAGAGATAAAATGTTAACCATAGATGAAAGCGGGAAGATAATAAGAAAGTGTTCCTTGTATATTTGTATTTCACAATTTATTGTAGGCTTTAAATAATTCCCGAATAAAAAGATTTTTCAATGGGTTGGAGAAAGTGGGACGGCTCAAATGAATGATGAGATCCAATGGATTCTGCATGCTAAACAGAAACAAGAAAAAAAGTGTCATTATTGCTTAACAAGTGAGATTAAAAGGCAATTAATTTGTGGGAGAAAGCACACCAAAAAAACCCACAAAATCTTTGGTTCTATATTTATAGATTTATCAAGGGTTTGAAGGGGATTAAAGGCATTTTAGGATTATAATTTATGATATTCAATTGAAGAAATTATAGAATCTGAAAGATATTTGCCAATTTGAGCAACTTCTAAAGTCTGGGGTCATTTTCTTACCAAATCCTGGATCTTTCTGATCAGGAAAAAGTGTTGCTAAAGCTGCTTTACTCAGCTGGCCCACATCAGGACTTACCAAATAATTCTCTTCAATTATAGGCACCTCTTTGGATAAAAGATTTAGGAAAACTAGCACTTGGACACAAAGAAAGAACCTGGACTGTAAACAGATTCGAATGCATTCAATGCAAAAAAAAATTCCTTGAGATGAATGTGGAGATGACAAATTCCTATCCTCCAGAAACCTTAAACTAAGAGAAAAATGCAAATATTTGGGAATGAGAGTATTCATATTGAAACTCAAACAAAAAGTAATTTTCCTATAGAAATACTTTCTCTTTTTCTAATAATCAAAGTACACATAATCTTTCCCCAAACTCAGGTATTATATACAAACATATAAACAGATGTTTCTTTTTCAAAGATTATACCATACTAGATGTATATATTATAGTCTATTTTTCTATTTTATGATAATTTTTAATTACATAGTGTTCTATTATATTCTATAGTTTATCATGTTCATGTTTTATCATTATTCATGTTGCTTTTGATATTTTGCTATTATAAGCAATGTTGAGATAAACTTCTTTATGTACTTGTTCAATTATTTCCAATAGACAAAAGTCCAAGGAACAGAGTTTCTGAATCAAAAGGCAGTCATTTTTTTTTAAGTGTTTAAAATGTTTGGGTTTTTTAATAAATTTATTTATTTATTTTAATTAGTTTCAAGTATACAGTACATTGGTTAGACATCTATATAGTTTATAAAATGATCCCCCTGATTGCGCTTTCTCTCCTCTGGCTCTACACACAGCCATTACATTACTGCTGACTGGATTCCCTACGCTGTGCTCCCCACCCCCATGACCATCTATCAACTGCTAATTTGTACATCTTTAACCCTTCACCCCATTCTCCCAGCCTCCCAACCATCCCCTCCCCTGTCTGTTACCAAATTGTCCACTATATTTGTGAGTCTGTTTTTAATTAGTTTGTTCTTTTTATTCCTTAGATTCTGCATATAAGTGAAATCATATGGTATTTATCTCTGACTTATTTCACTCAGCATAATAACCTCTAGTAGGCATTTTTAAGACTCCTGATGTGTATTGTCAAATCGCTCTCCAAAAGCAAAACTATACCAATTAACACCCCCAGCAACTGTTTTCCTACACCCTCACCAAGACTGGCTGGAAAGATGGGGTGCTATGAATCTATGTTGTCTTCGTTATGCCTTTCTTCCTCCTAACAGCCTAGAATACAGGTGCTCAATAATCAATCCAGGCTTCAGTCTAGTAGACATTCTGATCTAATCTAACTAATACGGGTGGCAGAGAACTCCTCCTCTGATTCACTGCCAAGTATCCTGTGTCATGTGGATCCTATAAAGGCAGCAGCTTCGAGCACATTTCACAGAGTCCCCTGTCTCCACTAACCCACCACCTGCACCCCAGGCTATGCCTTCAGCCATGAAGCTCCTGCTCCTGGTCTTTGCAGCCCTGGGATTTCTGGTGACCCCAGGTAAACTGGATGGAGAAGGGGAAAGTAGAGCTATGGGCCAGAAACACTAGCAGATCTGGTCACTGTGGTGACAGACAAGTCAGGTTGGAAGTCGGCAGGGCTCACCCCCACTGAATTCCAGCTTAAGGTAGGGATCTTCCCACATCTACCACTGGCCTTGTACCCTATACACAACCACCACCTTAAACAACCATATACAAGAAGCAGTTCCAAAAATTTTTTTTCTGTTCTAAAATGAAAGTCAGCCTCAACCTGGTCCAAAATATTTTTCCGTCATTTTACACGAACTCCCTACATCTTAGTCTTTAAGATGCTGAGAAGGCATCTCTCTTCACCATTTTCATCCTTTGAGATTAGCACCAAGTTAGTGCTCAGAGGCGAGCATGAGCCTGGGAGGAAGTGACTTAGGAGTCAGTGTTTCATCCCCATGCCCAACATAGGGCTGGCAGACAGGGTGATGAGACCTCTTAGAAGGCAAGTTCACACGAGATGGCAAATAAGGTATTTAGCTCTACAGTGGAGGAGAGAATGAAGAACCAGAGAGAGAAAGAAATCAGAGTAGCAAGCAGTGGGTGTGAAGAAAGCCCGAGAAGGAAGGATGCTCAGATGTCTCCAGTGCTGTGAGCTGATGGCAGACACAGAGCCGAGATAAAGCCCCCAGATTTAACCAGAAGATGGCGTCTGGTGCTGGGCAGTGCCTGAATGAAAAAATACCCTGTAGGTAGCAACTATTAGTTAATAATACTTTGGGGGGATGATGTGACAATTTTTTTTGCCTGTGTTCACTGATATCTACAGCTTTAAATTCTCTGAGAACGAATGAAGCAGTAACACCATAAAAGGGGAGGCTGTGGAGAGAATAATAGCCTCAATTCTCCCTTTTGAGTGTTCATGCAATGAAGACCTGGCTCCCCATCCTATTTTTACTCAAACATTCTGCAGTACCAACTACAGCAAAATTACAGGCCTTCACTAGAGCTGCAAAGATACAGATACTGGCAAAGAGAAAGCGGTCCTCAGAGTTCCCAGAGGCTGTCATTTAAGGGAGATAGTATCTGTGCTTCATTATCCTTCTCAAGTCTCATTTGCCAGCATCACTAGCATATATCTCAAAATAAAAAGCCAAATGTTCCCACCTGGCCCTGACCATTTGGCAGTCCCTTTTGCTGCTTCTAACCTTGACTTCTCTGGTCTTTTCCCCTCCCTTGCAGCCAGTGGGGGCAGGACAAGCTGTAGGCTTAAGGTCCCCGGACACTGCAAACTGCACTGTGGCTCTTTTGAAAGATCTATATTCATGTGTGACAGATACAAACAATGCTGTGTCAAGAACTATGTAATACCAGAGCCCATCATGCCACCACCTGTCCATAAATCTAAGGACCCATGCGGAAAAACTACAAAAAGACAAAAGAAGACAGTAACACCTATAACACCAAAACCACTATCATCTCCAAAGATTCAGCGCACTATTGCCTCCCCATAAATTGTTGCGGCTTCCTTCTTCTGGGATTTCAACTTAAGACCAAGCTCTTGTTTTCTACATCAGTCTGTCATTCATTTAAAAAATAATTTGGAGTTCGTATCTGTCCTACAGGAGTTAATGCCATGTGGTTCCATCCATGGGTTATGTGTCAGTTTAGGTCCTCCAAGAACCATGCCAAGATAGAATTAGACCTGAAAAAATTTACTGAGGAGAAACCCCATGATGGACGAAGGTGAGAGGGAGCAGGAGGAGGAGAGAGAGCCTTCAGACTGCAATGCTGGTCTTATACTTGTATAATGAGAGAGGGATAGAAGGAGGGCTGGATAGATGGAGCCTGAGACTACAGACCTAAGGAAGTCTCAGCCATGAGACTGGGGATGGGGGGCGGCCAAAGCAAGAATTGCCCCTCAGAGGAACCCTACCACAGAAGCAATGATGTACAGGCTCTACATCCCACTGGCTTTAGTCACTGGCTTGGAGCAACCCCTGGAGAACATGGCCTTGGGATGAATGCTGCTATAGACCTGGAGGTATGGCAGCTGGAGGCTGTCCACCAATTACATCCTGGCAGTAGGTTCTCTCTTTTTATAATTTATTTTAATTAGTTTCAAGTATACAGTACATTGGTTAGACATCTATATAGTTCATAAAACAATCCCCCCAATTGCTCCCTTTGTCCCCTGACCCTCTACCTTGCCAACGTATTAATGCTAACTGTATTCCCTATGCCGTGCTCCCCATCCCTGTGACCATCCATCAGCTACTAATTTGTACTTCTTTAACCCTTCACCCCATTCTCCCAGCCCTCCAAACCTCCTCTCCTCTGTCTGTCACCAAATTGCCTACTGTATTTGTGAGTCTGTTTTTTATTAGTTTGTTCTTTTTGTTCCTTAGATTCTGCATATAAGTGAAATCATATAGTGTTTATCTTTCTCTGTCTGACTTAAATATCTTCTAGGTCTATCAAAGCAATATCTTTTTCCATCCTCTTCCTTTTAATCTGTGTGTTTTTTAATCTAAAGTGAGCCTGTTGTAGGCAGCATATGTAGGGGTCTTGTTTTGTTATCCTTTCAGCCACTCTATCGTTTGGTTGGAGCACTTAATTCTTTTCCATTTGAGGTGCTTATTGATAGGAATGTAGTTGTTACTATTCTTTATTCTTGTTTTTGATACATGTTTTTTTCTTCTTAAAGAAGCCCCTCCAACATTTCCCGTAATACTGGCTTGGTGGTGAAGCTCTTTATCTGTCCTTCAACTCTAAATGATAGCTTTGCTGGATAAAGTATTCTTAGCTGTAGATCTTGGGTCTTCATCACATTGAATATTTTGTGCCAAGCCCTTCTCTCCTGCATAGTTTCTTTTGAGAAGTCAGTTGCCAATCTTACAGGTGTTCCCTTATAGGAAACTATCTACTTTTCTCTTTCTGCTTTTAATATTCTTTCTTTGTATTTAACCTTTGGCATTTTAATTATGATGTGTCTTGGTGTGGGCCTCTTTGGATCCCTGGTTTTGGGGATTCTCTGAGCTTCCTGGGGGTTTATGTCCATTTCTTTGACCAGGTGGGAAGATTTTTCCATCATTATTTCTTCAAACGGCTGTTCGACATCTTGATTTTCTTCAGGTACGCCAATCAGACAGATATTTAGACCTTTAATAGTGTCCCATATGCTCCTTAAATTATTTTTATAGCCTTGGCATCTTTTTTCTTGCCATTCTGATTGAGTGTCCTTAGCTTTCCCGTCCTCTAGATAGGTCATTTAATCCTTTTCTTTATTCACTTTGTTTATTCCTTTGATTATTGCATTTAATATACTTCTCATCTCACATAATGTGTTCTTCATTTCAGACTGGTTCCCTTTTATAATTTCCACTTCCATTTTTATGTTTTTTATCTCTTTGTTAAAGTTTTTACTGAATTCATC